AAAAAAAAAAAAAAAACATTACAAATACAAAATAAAATTAATAAAATTAGATTTTTATATAAATAGACTATAAATTAATTCATGACTGATTTAATAGTGTGATCGTGAGAGTCTATATAATAAAACACTTATTGTATAGGTCTTTAGGCAATACTTTACTGTTTTCGATCTCAACCATTTGATCAGTTATATTGTACCACTTTGTGGCACAATCTGAGCTAATCAAATGGCCTCAATCGAAAACAGCACGTTATTGCTTAAATACTATACAATAAGTATATAAAATTATATATCTGTAATTAATAACTATTATAATAATATAAAATAAATGTTTATTATTATATTTATAATAAATCATCAAACTCTTTCTGACAATCACTATAACCATTTTTTTTGCAGAAAAATAATTTTATTTTTTTAAAAATTTTATGCTTAATAAAATGTCACAGTACAAAATATATGATATTAAACTCGACCTGAAGAAGGTCGAACAAAGGTTTATTAACAAAAACAGTATACTTACAACTTTAAATACTGTCCTTTATAAGCTGGCAAAGACAAACTTAGTCGAAATACTTTGTTACATCGAATTTATCTTGCTGCAAGAAAAATATAACAGTATAGACGACTTTGTTAGAACTAACAGAACTGTGCTTAAAGAACTAGGTCTTAAAAATGGCAACTAACTGATATATTTGTTATATATTCTTGTCAGTTTTTTTGACGAGTATGAAACCTCTATAAAAACTTTCGTGAAGATACATTCTAAAAACAAATGGCGCAGTTGGATCAAATAGAACTGACCAATGATATGCCAGTATCAACACAGGCACAGCTGATGGAAATGGAAACTCATGAAAATGTTGAACACCAATCAATAGATGTGGAACACAACAATTACAACATTAAACACCAATTAGAGGACACGTTACCTGAATCTTCAACAAAGAATTCTAATATGAGTTTCACAAAACTTAACGCTAAAGCCACACCCTATATCCCAAAAGAAAAAGGATGTACTGTTACGTTTGCAAAAATGACCTTCAGGAATCTAGATATAGGCAGCAACCATGACACTTTTCCGACTCCACCCAGCAATAGGCAAAAAGTTAACACAACTAAGCGTATAGTGTCAAATAGCAAAGCTTAGCCTGTTAAAAAGAAATAACAACACACTTATCCAAAAAAAATACAATCAATAATGATCAGATATGACCCAATACTTAAGGACAATATTCGTGAAATTACTGTATACGATATTCCCTCCATCTAGGCTCAACTCGAACTTTTTTAACATCTTGAGAAATGGAGTCACGTGATCGCTTTCAAGACTAAACGTCAGAAAAAATATTTTACGATTACCATATCAATCAACTTCAACAAGTGAGCTATAAGTCTATGAAATCAAGGAGTTTGGACCGCTCCTCTAAAAGGTATTCCTGTCTGATGGTATCCTGCTAACTGGAATCTTCAACAAAAAAAGGAAAGAGAACGATTTCAGGCTGTGGTGAAAGATATACCTGGAACTGTTACCACTTCAATGCTATATCCACCGAACCTTACTCAATTACCAATCTCACACCTGGAATGCAAAGCTTTTAAGGTGATTTAAGAGAAAAGTACTTGCAACTTCATCACGTGTTATGAAAATTAGGCTGATTTGAATAAAATCATGAATACCAAGTTGAACTTGCAAGAATTTGAAGGTGTTTAAACTAGATACTTTTCGCTTTAACTATCTAAAAGTCGTAATCAACCACCAAGAAGTGGCCATAATCAGAAGCAGAACTAAGACTTGGTGCATAAGACTGGATCAAAGACTACAAATAAAAAGAATCAGGAGAGCAAGTCTTTCAGAAAAGAATTTAAAAAAGTGAAACCTCTAAAAAAAAGCCTGGATGGTGGCGAAACTGGCAAACTTACTTTGTTAGTAGAAATCAGATCGCTACTAAGAAGACTGAAAAACTGATGAGATGACTGTTCCAGTTTTGGTGACTATAGGCGGGGTGAATGAAACACTATACTAGTTGTATCTCATATTTGTAGAATACTAATTATTATTTTAGTTACCCTTTTATTAATTTTTTTTTTTTTTTTACCCTGACTTTTCTGTTATTGCCCTTATCTTTCTTTTTTTTTTGAGTTTGAGTAGTATCAGTAAGTCCTAAAG